GTCCGGCCGGGCCCAGGCCCGAACCGGCCCGAGTCCAGCCATAAGCTTGGTACACAAAATTATGTGTTAATCGAGTGTGGCAGTAACACCCTTCATTTCATTTGATAATTCAGTGCACAATCCTAGTGAAGATTGAGTAGGTGCATTTTTTATTTTTTATTTTTAGGGTATCACAGAAAGAAATTGGAGTTGGCTATTTCTGCCAAGGTAAAAATAAGAGCCGCAGTTAAAATGATTGTTACAACTTGCTCGATCAACTACTTTTTTTTTTGCTGGACTTTGTAGTCTCGATTAACTACTTTGTAATCCGTATCTTCATCACTTGGTGGAAGTGAGGAACAAAGATGGTATTTTCTTGGTAAATTGGATTATTGAAAGGGAAGAAGTTCAAATAGATTGGTAGAAAAGCTTCATGCAATGGAACAATGTCACCATTTCTATTGGGAGTTAAATCACCTCTATCATGCATAGGTGTGGACCTAGCACAACAGTTTATAGCTCTATTTTGGAATCGTAAAACATTTTGATCTAAGGTCCAAACACCAGTCATTCTCGGTTTGTTGAGGACAGGAATTACCCTAAATCATACATGGGCTTTAAAATTACTGATAACATTTTCATTGCATTCAAATGAAATACAAAAACTCCTATTTCAACAAAAGTAGTGCAGGAATAATGAAGGTAACTGTGACCCAATGCTGAAGGTCTTTCCGAAAATTGACAATGGCTTATGAAGTTCTTTGAAACCTTTGCCTCAGATCATTATACGTCTTCTCAACTTGCATCAATCGCGGATCATCTTTTGGAATGTCACGTGCCTGGTTTTTTCAAGATCGATTAGATAGGACCTTACCAATATAAGTTAGAGAGAGGTGATGAGGTTTTTCTGGTAAGGAAGATTGATTACCTTCAATCCATTGTAATATGCCTCAACAGCACGGAGCTGGAGAGTAGCATTGCGACCAACCATCATGTCCCATATTAAATTAGCAACAGTATATCCACCAGTCTGCAAGCAAGCAAAGATCAGATTAATAAGACAACTCACATATATGTGCATGAGTGTGACTCGCTTCTCCTGCTCCTCTGCCCCCTTGCCTTCTCTAATCACTCTACTCCTCTTCACTCACATAAAAATGAACCTTGATTTTATTGTGTACAGGTCATAACTCGATGAGCAGCAGATATTCACCAAAGGTCACGCTCCTGGTCCACTCTCCACATTTGTTGAGGTTATTGGCATTGCCAATAGTCCCAATCAATCTGTGTTGATATATGGACAAACTTTGGGGACACACTCAATGCAGTTAGTTACAACCACGTTTTTCAACTTGCCAATGGGGAAGATCTAATCAAGGTTTATGATGCTGTAGTTCCATTCACTTAGCACCTTATGAACAATGATAAATAAGAATAGCCAAATGGTGGTATTTGGAGTCTTAGGCTATGTTTGGCACAACTAGCTGGAGCTGGAGGCTAATGTCTGAATTATGGACTATTGTCTGAAACAAAGACTATTGTCTGAAGCTGAATATTAGTGTGCTGGATCTAAACTGCTAGCTGAATGAAGTCAATTCGTTTGGCAAAAAAAGCTGAAAAAGTGACTGGATAAATGAAATTACATTAAAGGACATAATTAATAATGGAATTAAATATTACGGAGTATTATAATGATTTTATATTTTAATTAATTAACATATGTGTGTATATCCTTTCAAAGGAAAAAAACATGTGTGTATATAATACACACACGTACATAGGTAGATCAAGATGTGCATCATGAAAAATTGGTTTTGCTACAACACAAGGAAAAAGGTTTCTATTCCACTGGAATGATCCTGAAAGTCGGCGACGATCAACTCAGCAAGAGTGCAAGACCATGTGTTGTGATTATAGAAATACAGCTAGTTAACAATGAAGGCGTGATTCATGAGTTCGTTTATCGTATGAATTCCTGGGAAGAGAAATTAAGGGTAGTTCAGGAATCAAAAGTGCATTTACCATCGGCTGGACAGAAACGCTTGCATTGATAGCGTTAGGTGTCAGTCATTTTTTTTCCATTTCAGTTCAATGTAGCCTGATGTCCAAACAGGACTACGTTCTCCATGATTAACTGAAATTATTAATTCCAGCCCATAATAAGCTGAATAGCCCCCGCCGAACAGAGCCTTAATGGTCTGGTTTGGTAAAGACACTAATCGATGAGATCATTCTGCTAGCATTGCTACACCACACAGCTAAAAAAGTGTGTATGTGTGTATAGGGGTTGATTGACTTGGTTGTAGTACAAATAGTGCTACTCGTGCAAATGCGAAGAGGATCATTTTTTCCTGTTTCTGATGCACTTTCAAGTGTAAAATGATGCACTTTTCAGTGGTGGAAAATTTTGATTTATTTATCAAAATGTTACCACGTTTCAACCAAGTCAAGCATTGTTGCCACATTTAAGCCCTTCGAAGTTAGATCCTCAATCTAGTGCTCCAAATTAATTTTTACTTTCATGGAAATATGACTTTTTATTTGACCTAAAACATTCACACTACAACATTTAAATTTGTTTAGGGTACAGCTATTGCAAATAATCAAACTCTGGCTACACTTTTTAGTTTATTTGTTGGTTTCACTAAGTTTAACATACTTGATTTGTTGACAACACTTTTTAGAAAAAGAAATATATAAATGCATTGAAAATTAGCTTCATTTGTTCAAATATAATTTTTTTTGGACAAACATAGATTTTGAAAAAGGCACCCTTTTTGGGAGTAAGGTAATCTAACCTTTTCACCAGCAGCTGCAAGGAGGAGATCGTTTCCCATCTTTACACTCAGGATAAAATTCCTCTCATTGAAGGTTAACTAAACGAAGAAAACGTACATTTGCACAAAAACAAAAGTAAGTGTAACATAACTAAATAAATAAAAATATAAATAATTAGATAACCACGGTGCTTAAAATATCATTTCATAGAATAAGGGTACATGCAAAGTTTTTATGTGCACTTAGTGGCTACATTCTTACCTGGCACATGTTGATTGGGTAGTATAGTCTTCTTACTTTTCACTGCCTAATTAACATGTGCCATCTAGGGACGTATACAATAAATGTACACAAAAAATCTGCATCTACAAGACTACAACAATTTCATAACATACCAGTGTCTCTTGAGCAATTTGCATTCCCCTGGTAGTATGACCCACCATTGCTCCTTCTATTAGGGTCTTCCAAACAGAAAATGTTAATTAGTTAGCTACATCTGCTGGAGAACATCCAACAACAACTTCCAAGCCAAAAGTGTTTGGGGTCATGTAACATGAATCAGACATGAACCAGACATGATTATCATAAAAATTACACCTCTTATAAAGATTACCATAAAAAGTTCTATAATGCCAGCTCTTCCAGAGTTCATGTAGTCCTGAAAAATCTTAAGACCACGATCTAAGTCCCCAGAATGTAGATAACACCTACATGGAAAAGGAAGATGCAGCTTTTATAACATATTGAAGACTCTTTAGTTGTTTAGTTTAGTACACATATTCATATTTGAAATACTTTTTGCATTCCAAAATAGCATAAGCTCGTGAATACATTTCAAACATTACACTAGCCAGTAGCCAATGTAAAGTTTGGATTTGACATGCAGAACACTGCACCACTCCTCCCAATGAAAAGTAGGTATGTTGGAATTCACTCGTCCCACTTGAATCTTTACGTTACTATTCATACGGTCAACTAAACTTCATCTTAAGGTCTAATTCTATATATCAATTTTTTATCATATTTGAATTCTATTTTTGTGACTTTGTAGGACTTTGATGTAGTTTATAAAACAATATATAAGCCTTAATTCCAAAAGATTTTGGGGTCGGCTAACATAAACCGATCAATGATATCATAGCTAACATATCTGAGGAAATCACAATCTCCAAACTTATTTTTAATTATGAAGTTCAGAGAGCCTTTGGCGAGACGCAACAACTCTCATTTGAGAAACAAGAACTCTCATTTTCAATAGGATGATTTGTCGTAAATCAAAGCTGGTCACATCCGAAAACTGTCTGCCAACAAAGAACCTGAATACGCAACTCAAGATCTACAGGAAATCTCAGAAGAATAAAAGACGGCATAGCATGACGACCAGATCACAAGCTAGAGATCTCCCTTGGGTCTAGTTTTTGTCTTTACTTTTCATTTCTTTTATGTAATTTTTTCCATTTATTTATCATTTTGCACTGTAATTTTTTGATTTTATGAATAAAGTTATTGTTTCTTAAAAAAAAAAGAATTAATTGTCATTAATTAAAAAAAAAAGATAAGAAAAAATAAAAAGATAAGGTATAGTAAGGTAGTTTATAAATATGTAAATTTTAATTATTAACATCAATCCAAAATTTGTCAGGGATGAATTTGTTTTATGGCCGGTCAAGCATCGTAAACTAAAACGTCAAGATTCAAGTGGGACAGAGGTAGTATAAAACAATATAAAGGTAAGATATCATCGATATAAAGAAAATATCTAATCTGAGGCATTTGATGTAATTTGATGAGGCTAACTATGGTTTTTGGCCAAAATTTACTTATGGTCCAGATTTTTCCGCTCAAGGATCTCAAGCATTAATTCCAACCATCAATCATGTCAACAACTCCATTTCACCTATGATAAAAAATGGAAAGTCTATTTCTAATGATGAATTACGCTTAACTGTTAGATCACTTTAATGGACAGTGAGTTTTTACCGTCTCCAAAATTTGAATGTTCATAATTGTGTGATTCCTTTAAGCATTGAGACCTGCCTCATTGGTATTCGGGGCAAAGACACACTATCACGACTCCTAAACTACGCAATGTAGAGACTTAAGCATTTCGGTCTGAAGCGTACACACATCCAACGCAGCATGAGCATCTCAACAACACTCATCTTTTGAATGTGAAATTTTTCACAGTTGATTACTATACATCATCACACAATAATGCAAGCCCAATTGTTGTTCAATAAACTTTCTCTTCAGCCTAGTCGACATACCTCGACCACATAGAGATCTTGATGCATTGTTCTTTATCATCCACCCCCTTTTGATTCTATGAGATACATCTCCATCTAATTCACAGCCTTTTTGAGCTATGGAGCTCATGTAAAGGGTCATATAACTAACCTGGAATCCAAGATCTTCTTGTAATCCAAGGTAATCCCATTATTACGGCTGTTTCTAACCCCATTAACTAACTCAGTCTTGTTACAACTCATCCTAAAACCCTTTCTCTTCAAGGTTTGTTGCCATACTTCCAACTTCACTTTAACATCTTATCTTGTTCATCAATCAACACAATATGATCAGCAAACATTGCACCATGATATATCTTCTTGAGTTGAGATGTTGGGAGAAGAGGCGGGGGAAAAGAGGGAGAGGAAGGCCCAATCAGACTTGGATTAGAAGAATCAGACCTTATATGCTTCTTCTTGGGTTGGATGAGAGTATCACTTTGGAGAGAGCAAAGTGGAGGGCGCATATTCATGTGGACGAACGGTTTCTTTTATCTTCTTTACTTTCTATGTTCTTATCATTGTTCTAAACATCGGCCTAGGCGGACCGATTAATCGGCCTAGGCGGCCTAGGCGGCCCTAACCGTAGAGTCCTAGTCGGTCTAGTCGGCCAAAAAATCGGTCTAGTCGGCCGAAAAATCGGCCTAGTCGGCCGCCTAGGCGCTAGGCGCCCCTCTACCGCCCGACTAGCGCCTAGCGAGTTTTAGAACAATGGTTCTTATGTTATTTCTATCTTTTATCTTTCTTATCTTTTTTTTATCTTTCTTATGTTCTTATGTATTTATCTTCATCTTATCCATTTTATCTTACTTTATCTTTTTAATTTTCTTATCTTTCTTCTCTTTTTGGCCCTAATTTCATGGATTGATTCATGTTAGCTAACCCCAAAATCTATCGGGAATAAGGCTTGGATGTTGTTGTTGTATTAGTTGTAATATTTTTAAATCTTAAATAAATCTGTATTAAGAGTTAAAGCTTACGCCTCATTGCATAATAGAGCTTATGCAATCCCTACAAACTCCATTCACTATGTAATACACAACTTTTAGCATTGATCGACTCTTCAAACAAATGGAGGATCTGACGGTTCAAATTAAAACTTGAAATTAATAAACAAAAAATATAAACCACCAAGTGATCTTGTGGAGAAAATAGATGTTCATCTGACCACATTGTTATAGGGCGCCTCTATATTGAATTCTACTCAAACAACATATAACCACTCATAGAATTAGGTAATTTAATCTGTTTAACACATTATTCAACAAACTGGATGGTTATCAGATCCGCTGAAAGCAGTACTATTAGCTTCAGTTGCTCAAAACCAGTTCTTAACATATCCCTATCCCTGCTTAATGTATTATACTAGGGGGTGTTTGGAATTAATTCTGCTTCTGCTTCTGCTTCTTTTTTGAAAGATGGTCTCCCTGAGCTTGTAAAAAACTTCTTCTAGAAGCAATTTGGAGCACCCGGAAGTACTTCTACACTAATGTGAAAACTAATATCTGCATCTACTCCCTGAAAAAGCAGTTTTAAGTAGATCCAAACACCCCCTCATGTGAAAACTCGAAGGTTGAAGCACATGAATTATTTGAGTAATTGAGTAATACAAAAATATGTACCTCATGAGTTGCATCAGGATGAAAACATCAGGCGTTTTGCCATCCTTTTCAAGCATCATCAGAAGCGCATCAATAGCCTATAATGGGTAACGAACCCATCAATTGGTCATATATGTTCTTTTTCTTTTGTGATATAACATAAAGAATAAATGCTTTTAAATGAAGGCAAAAACATATATCATCTTGACCATGTAGCTAACGTACCTCCACATTTTTCATGTCAGCAAAAGCATGAAATGCAACATGGTAGACAGTTAACTGCGTATTCAACATTCCCCGTCGATGAACATACTCAGCAGTAGGAATGTTATAAAGTTCTTCTTCAGAACTGATTGTCATAAATCTCTGATGAATATCCCCTGGAGCTTCAACCTCTGACCAACTCTTTGACTGCTCAACAAGCTCAATGATCTTCTCCATCGAAGAAAAACAAACTGGTATAACTAAACTGTGTGAAACATTAAAAAAGAACTTTAAGAATTTGCAACTTTAGTTCAAGTTACTTTAGATGCAACATCATCGGCAAGAGGTTGCTGATTCTTGTGAGCCGCTATAAGTCCAGCATAACAGAATTTGTTCAAGCCCACGGAAGCCGCTGTCATATCTCGAACAATTGCATACCTGCAATATTAAAAATCCGAATGTAAGGGTAAATTTCGCTGAAATTGTGGATGATATTGAAGAAGTTGGTAACATTGCTGATTTAACTATATGAAAAAGTCAAATGATAATTTTGGCAATTTCAGCAGACAGCAATTAAAGCCAAAAGAAGTACCTCAAGTCCTACTTTTCATCATTAACCAATCCACTGCTTCAATAAAATAAATTAGTGCTTGGTTAAAAATCTGGCAGATAAGCCAAAAGAGTGACTATCAAAAGAATCTAACAAGATCAAATCGGATGTTAATGAGGCATAAATGTGTGTATGCTTCAGATTTATGTTCAGTTTTAACTTTTAAATTGGCAAGATAACAACCAAAGATCAAAAGATGTGGACCACACCAAATACTACGGTACATAAGATGCATTCACGTAATGAAGCTAACAATACGTTCAATTTATGAGTAGCCTTAAAAAAGCATTGTTCATCAAGAAACCATGAAAAGGAAACCATTTGGTCATTTCTGTATTATTTTAGTGCATTACTAAAATTACCTGAATCCAGCTGTCAATGACAAGACCCTATCTAGCTTAAATTTATTTGCAATGTCTTAACCTCAAGTTCGTAAAAGGAAAGCATTGCAACACTAGGTATAAAATCTTACACTCGTTCTAATCGACCTTCAGCTGCACATGCATTAAGTAGACAAACATAGGTCTGTCCAGAAGGCTTGACTCCATATCTCTTCATTTCTTCTAAAACCTACACTTCATAATGAGGAAATAAACACTATGTATCACAGAATTACTGAAGTTAGAAATGCTACAGTGATATGACATGATGTGTGCACACCCGGATTGCTTGATCAGAGTTCTTGCATTTGCCGCATGTGGAGATCAAAAAGTTGTATAAAGTAACCTAGGGAATGAAGCAATGTCTTTTTTAATAATAGACTTGTGACTAAAAGATAGAAACATGAGATATCACCACAAATACTAAATCTAAGTGAGAAAGAAAAGTTCAGTGCAAGTACAGTTCTTAATCTTCCCTAGTTAATGTTTAAATTCAGTACGTCCAAAATGGAGTAATTGGTTGAAAAAACAAGGAAGACTCGTCAACAAAAATCAACAAATCAGGTGTACATACATCGGGCACCAAACCAGACGATTTCATTTCATCTCTGAAAAATAGGGAGTCCTGCAAGCGAGCGCCTTTCATAGTCCCGACAATTAGTGAATGAAATGTCTCTCTCTCTAGCTTTACCCCATCCAGCATCATGTCATCATATACATCCCTTAACAAGTAATGTCTGCACATAACACATGAGCGCACCTTTTAAATTTGCACCCAGGGATGCTGAAATAAACAACACCGAGAAGTGTATCCACCTTCGCTGAGCGGTGATAGAGTTAATAACAGTATTGTATTCGGACTCATTGTTGGCGTAATTTCGCTTGCCGTACTCCTCCGTCGACGCAGAGAACAGCCTACGCTCTAAGGCTCGATGCAGCAACCGTCTGTTCCCTAAAAAGAATGGAGTAAAGTGGTGAACTACAGTGAAGACAGCACTAAATGTCTAAATGCGCGCGCTTTCTCTATGGCGCTTATAGACGGAGAAAAATACCTAGGGTTTGGAGAAGCTTCATTACGAGGACGACGACGACTTATCACTGCGATTGCAGATTTTAACTCTTCAAATTTCTCACGAAGAAGCCAACACAGATCAGGGTTAACAGATTAGCGAGACGGAATCTGCGTTTAAAACGTTCTTTACACCAAAACTTTCTTTACACCAAAACTTTCTTAACATCACGCTAGAGACACTATTTGATACTATCCACACACTGTTTGGCACTATTTGACACTATTTTGATGTAGATTTCTTTGGCAAAAAAGGAAATAAGGAAATGTTAAGTTTATTTTAGACCGTCCCAAAAAAGAAAGTGTAAAGTTTATTAAAATTCGAAGAGAGTATAAGACTTGAGAGTTATGGCCTTTTGGGAATAAAAAAAGTGTTGGTGTAATTTATTGCTATGAGTGTTTGTACATTACTCTTTCATATTTCTAATCTAAAAACTTATAAGTCTCAATGAGGAAAAAGGGTCAAATAGGTCCATGTACAATTGTAAAACCATCATCTAGACCCGTATACTAAAAAAGCATCGTATAAACCTATTTATTCCGAAAAACGATTAAATCAGCCCATTTACCTGGAGTTGACCTTTTATAACCGGTCATTTGCTCTTTTTGTTTTTTTTTAATTTACTTTTACTTTATCTTTTTTCTTTCTCTATCTTCTTTGTCCGCTCCTTCCCACAGACTTCACCGTTATCCTTTGGTCGCTTGTGTGAGGAACTCCCAAGGTCCAAAACTATTGGTCGATCTAAATCTCAAATCGAAGACGTGAGAGCAGTCCAACGACGATATCCTTCAGATTCGTCCACATGGAAGCGGTGGCTACCTTCTCTTCTCGTTGTGCGTACAGGGTCGCCGGAGAAGGGAAGACGAAGCTCTCTGCTCTCCATCAGAATCGTTAATTTCTTCACTCACCCAGTAGTTTCGCGCAGGGACTATTGAACGAACTCTTTCACCCTCATCGCTCTGCGACGCCCTTTTAATGGGTTGTTGACTTCCAATTTCCAGCTTTCTGTCCCAAATAAGTTGGTGAGGAAGACCACCGACGAGAAATTCATTCTCGCCGCTCAAGCCATGACTTCATTTGCCTCTAAAATCTGATTATGTATATATATATATATATATATATATTTATATATATATATACACACAAATGTTCAGGTCAGGAGTTCCTGACCGGAACCGCCGTCCGGACTGCGGCGTTTGGCCGCCTTCCGGGTGGAATTTTTTGATGAAATTTTTATCACATATTCTCCATCAAGTCTAGTTTATCCACAAAAAAATTCAGCCAAAAACTCAATCGGGAAGGTCGTCAAATAATTTTTGCAAGTTAACTGGTCCAGAATATGTATTTTCCGGACCAGTTAACTTGCAAAAATCATTTGACGACCTTCCCGATTGAGTTTTTGGTTGAATTTTTTTTTTCGTGGATAAACTAGACTTGATGGAGAACATGTCATAAAAATTTCATCAAAAAAAGTCACCGGGAAGGCGGCCAAACGCCGCGGTCCGGACGGCAGTTCCGGTCAGGAACTCCTGACCGGATCATTACTCTATATATATATAATATATAATATCAATTTTTAAAATGTAATGATTAATTAGAAGTTCTTAGTTTTCGGGGACACCCATTTAACAGTCATTCTTTGCTTCGTAAACAAAACTGAAGCAGGAAGAAGACGATAAAAAATTTAATCGTTTTTTCTGTCCACCTGTGTTGCTTTGTTTTTATATATACTTCGTATAAATAGAGAGTATATATACGGAGTATTAATTAAGAGCATATGTGTAGTTTCTATATAAAATCTTAAGAGAGATTGAAGATGAAAGGTACGGAGTATAAAATTTGAGAAATGGAGTTGCAACTAGAAGGTCTAGAATGGGATGAAATGGAGTTGCAACTAGAAGGTCTGGAATGGGATGAACGGATCACAGAGGAAGAAAAAGTAAAAAAGAAATGAAATAAAAATGTAATCTGTATAATTAGCAAAGTGACCGCCTAAAAATGGTCAACTTCAAGTAAACTGGCCAATTTGATCGTTTTTTAAGAATATATAGGCTTATATGATGCATTTTTTAGTACATGGGTTTAGATGATGGTTTTACAATTGTACATGGGTCTATTTGACCCCTTTTCCGCCTCAATGAGGGTTATGTCCTTTTGGGAATAAAAAAAGGTGTAATTTATTGCTATGAGTGTTTGTATATTACTCTTTCATATTTGTACACCTAGAGAAAGTCGGAAGCGTATACCATACAGCCGGCTGTACGGCTGGGCACCGTACAGCCGGTGGCATTTTTGTAATTTTGATGAAGTTCACGATTTGTCGTAAATGAGCATTGATGTAATTTTATTGAGCATCGAGTCTGTTCTTCTGAGTATTAAGAGCCTAACTATGAGCACCCGTGGTCTCTGCTTCATACCTTCTAATTCAGTTTCTTTTTATTAATTTTCGTTTTTAAAAAATTCTTAAATTGTGTTTGTAATTAATTTCAATATGTGAATCTATTGTAGTATGATATGTTTGATATGTGCATCATTTTCAAATGAGCATAAACCAGTACCAAATGAGCATACCTAATTTACAAAATGAGTATCAAAAAAATCAAAACTTCATTTGTGTATGCTCATTGATTTTGGGCGTTATATTTAATATATGCATCATTTTAAAATGAGCATATAGCAATACCAAATGAGCATACATAATTTACAAAATGAGTATCAAAAAATTTAAAAGCTCATTTGTGTATGCTCATTAATTTTGGGCAATATATTTGATATGTGCATCATTTTAAAATGAGCATAAAGCAGTACCAAATGAACATACATAATTTACAAAATGAGTATCAAAAAATTCAAAATCTCATTTTGTGTATGCTCATTGATTTTGGCATTATACTCATTTAAGTTTAACATAAAACTCATTTTTAATGTGTTTAATATTTAGTTGTGTATGTTCATTTCTTTGAGGCGTATACTCATCTGAGTTTAATACAAAACTCATTTTTAATGTGTCTAATATTCAGTTGTGTATGTTCATTTTTTTAATGTGTATACTCATTTGAGTTTTTTATAAAACTCATTTAAGATCAATAGTAGTAGGGACTTCCTTTTTCTGCAGTAGGATCCCTTTGTCTTCCAAAATCACAATCTCAATCTAAATCACCAAAATTGAATAAGAAAAAGAGAAAAAAGAAAAGAGTGAAAAGAAAGATCTGTTGTGCCCATTCTAGGAGATCAGCTGTGAGAGGCAACTATCTAGGAGAGAAAGAGACAAGTGGTGCGAAGCAGATGGAAAAACCAGACAACATCTGAGACTGGTGCGAAGCTGGGTGCGAAGTCGAGGAAGAAGGCCGAGCGAGATCGATCGAGGAAGAAGGCTGAGCGAGATTGATCGAAGGGCAGAGCAAGATCGAGGAAGAAGCCCAGAGCCAAAAAGGGCCGGCTGTACCATGTAATTTACCGAGAAAGTCCATCCGTTATCGTCACTTCTTTCCGTTACCCCTCAGCGCATTTCTGTTCGCATCCAATCGAGTGACAGGGTTGTAGTATGCTCTTCTACGCAGCTTGAGAAGAGCTTCAGCTTCTGGGAGACCAACAAGCCTGAAGAAATAAGAGATAAGAATGATAGCAAAATCGCTCGATGCCTTGACTTAGTGTCTTCCTGAGACCGCCAGCACCTTCACTTTTTCTCATTTTGCGGCCTTGGCTCTTTCACGGGTGATTTCTGCCACTGAACCAAGATGAATTGTTGGATTCTCGGGTCTCACAATGAATCCAAGTAAAAGGTCATCCTTAATTCCAATTAAACAATTATAACAACATTGATAATATGATAAGATTTAGGGAAAATGGAAACTAATAATCCAACCTTTTAGCGGTCTTCTTTCAATAATCCCACCTTTTGATTATTCATGAATAATCCAACCTTTGCCCCCCATCTTCATTTGTTGGTCCCTGATCGGTTAATGACTTGCTATTCCAAGTTATTTTCTTATCTTTACAAAATATTATCTTTGTGAAAGATGAGATTTATGGTATAATGATTTGCAAAGATAAAAAAATAGCTTGGAATAGTAGGTCATCAACCGGTCAGGGACCAGTGAATGAAGATGAGGTGCAAAGGTTAGATTATTCATGAATAATCAAAAGGTGGGATTATTGAAAGAAGACCGCTAAAAGGTTGGATTATTAGTTTCCATTTTCCCTAAGATTTATCTAACATGTATCACCATTGTCTATTGATGACGAACTAGACTATATCAAGAGCATGTGTAGAGTTCAACAGAAGGCAAACTTAGTTTTGTTGAAGCATGCTTGTGATATTTGAGTGTATCTGTGTGTGTCAATATGATCTTAATTTGGTAGAGAAAAGTGAACTTCTCTGAAGCATGCTTAATGCTTGTGTATATGCCTAAATGAGTTTTTTTTATATTTTCTATTTCTTATATAATGCAGTGTAAATGCTGTTCATGCTAACTGCTTGTGTATGTGCCTAAATAGATGAATTATGATAAAAAAGACTTTATTCAAGATTGAGATTAAGTAACAAGCCATATTGTCAAATCTTAGAATCTTAAAAAAAAAATTGAAGTAGAGACTAGGAACATATGCCTAAATGAGTTTTTTTTATATTGTTGTATTTCTTATATAATACAGAGTAAATGCTGTACATGCTAACTGCTTGTGTATATGCCTGAATAGATAAATTATGATAAAAAAAGACTTTATTGAAGATTGAGATTAAGTAACAAGCCATATTGTCAAATCTTAGAATCTTAAAAAAATAGTAGAAACTAGGAACAACATATGTTAGATGAATAAGAAGTTCACAAAAACTAAGGCATTTCTTTCTTTGGAAACTGAGTACATGTTTGGAAATAACTTACTTGCTAATGAATTTTGTGTGCTCTAAAAATGACACACAAATTCTAATAACTTGAAAAATCAAAAAATCATGTCAATTTGAAAAGCATACTTAGATAAGCGAAGGCATGACAATGACTCAATGAGAGATTATATCAAAGCTCATTAGAAAAGAATGAGGCTCCTGATGTGAATTAGGCTGGAAGCGAAGAGTTTATATAAATTTTGGCAAGGTAATTTTTTTGATTCATTTCTTAATTGATTTAACTACATGTATCACAATTACATGACTCTTTTTATGAGATGGATGAATGGGGGGAGTATTACATTCTATTTGTTCTATTACTATACCACTGACATTGATTTTGGATCGAAGAAGTATACAAGGATTGGAAATCCATGAGGCCATGGAAGGAAAGGAGAAGAGAGGCTTTAGCAACGAAAAAGGGATATTCAAAATTTTCTTCAACAACTAAAGAACCAGAGCTTCTATCTTATGGAAAAGAATATGGGGTTCTTGGGCTACAAGAATTAAACTGTATCAAAGGGTGCATTGTGGTAATGTGTATGAGTTTGGCTATGATAAGGTATTCTCAAAGTATTTACTCTACATGTTCGTTGTTCCTTTGGGTGAATTTGTATTGCAAACTATACTAGGGACAAAAATTAGAGATTATGTACGGGTTCAAGCGTAATAAATGTATTCCTGATATAACTTCACACCCATTTTACAGAAAGATTTGAGAACTCCAAAAGTAGAAATAAAATTATCCTTTTCTTGGATCCAAAAATATGTTTTGGGATATGTCATGTATATAACCAGATATATGCTTTTATAAAAAATTCAAAGTGTTCAATAAACAGTTTGTGAAACAACGGAAAAAAAGAAATAATCAATTTCAATAATTTTCAGGAATCTGTTTTTTTTTCTATTTCTTTTTAGAAATCTGAAAACAAAATAACACTTCTGCTTAAGTTTCCTTTTTCGGCAAAGTGCAAACAAAAACTTTACCCAATGACACCTTAGTGGTTTTATATTTTTTACGCATTGGGTTTCTCGCAGCTTAAAGTTTTAACAAAAGTTGGAGGATTTCTTGTATACGGCACTTGCAGGTTTTTTTGAGTAACGTTGTACTACTAATGCAGTTGCCTTTCAGCCCATTCTTAACTATTATTCCGTATTACTCACAAGTACATTTTTTTGTCCTTTCTTAAACAGTTTAACTGATGCAC